TTCGTTGTGCTGATTTCTACATAATTTTAAAATTTGGAAATCTTTAAATTTTTTATTACTGAATATTTTTGTTATACGTTACTACGAAAGAATCAAATTTTTTATTGTTAAGGCCATAATCTGATTGGCTAATTAATATGTGATATTGTGCAATCGAAATGTCTAGAAATATCTGATCGATATTTTTATACTATAAAAGGTGTGATCGACACTACCTATATTTGGTAAATCATCAGACTAATATCCAATACATTTATTGTTCTCGTATATGAATTTCTGTATGATTTGATTATATATTTTGATTGTCTATCTTGATCTTTCTAGAGAATTCTATTAGTACATGTGTTTTATTATTATTTATTTCTATTTACACGTATTGATTATTTGTTTTGTTTGTTTGTTTGTTTTTGTATCACCGTTAGAGATCTGTATTCAGGGTCAAGTGGTTCGCCTACTTTTTCCAAAAAATTTCTTCAAAAGTTTCATTTTTCTTGTTTGTTTCTAAGCTAAAAATTTGTTGTTTTTGTTGTTTTTTCTTTTTTCTTAATGTCTTATAGAGTATTTTCTAATACCTTTGTAGAGTTTTGGCTATTTTTTTTTTTGCTTGTTTGTGTACAAGTTAGTGTTCCAAAGTTCAGTTTAGTTCAATTTAGATTCAGGTTCAAGTTTAATTGAATCTAAACTGAACTTTAAATTTTGCAGATCTTTGAACCTGAATCTGAACTGAACTTTAAATTTATGAACTTGAACTGAATCTGAACTCAAAGTTTTGGTTCAGTTCAAGTTCATGAACATGTTCAAGTTCAATGAATTATATATATATTATATGTTGTCAAATAATCTACCTTCAATAATAAGCTATTTTCTTTTTTTAAAAGAAAAACATAAAGTTTCTTAGATCTAAAAATAAGCTATTTATATAATCATCAGTAGTTACTCTATAGTAAAATCGAATTTTACTAAGTAAATTGATCTACCTTATTAAGTGAAAGTTGTTCAAAAGATCAAAATATATATATTCTAAAAGTTTTATCTAAATTGAATAACCTTTTATTAATCAATTTTTGTATATTCAGACAAAAATCAACAACTCTTTCCGCTGATCAACAATTTCAAAAATTGCAAAAACAAGAAATAAAGATTTTATCAACAACTGTTATAGAAAACATCTTTTGCGGCATTAAGGAAAAGGATTCAGTATAAAAAGATATCTCAAGTCTCTTAATACAGAAACTTGAAAGCAAACCAACTCAAAGAAAAACAATATTTTTAAAATTTTTTCGTCAAATTTTGGGGAATTTGGATTTTTGTCCTAGACCCTGTAAATTTAAGACGTGTGACAAGTGATCATCAAAACAATATACCAACAAAATAAACACGTACCTTTTAGGGAACATCAACAAACTTTATTGACAAACAAACAAACAACCACATCTTTTGTAGAAAGTACTAACAATCAGAGAACAACAACAACAACAAAAGAATAATAACACATGGCGATATAGAAAGCAACAACGAAAGACATAGAAAGTTCTAGCAAAAATGAAAATCGAAACAACAAAACCAGTTTGGACTGGTTTAATGACATATTTACATGGAGCAGGCTTCCAAGTGTTTAAGTATATAAATGACAATAAACTATTAAAAATTCTTCAAACTTACATACCAACAGAACCAAATGACTTAGACAACTTAGCTAAAGACTTAGTAGTAAGAAACCCAGACCGAGTAACAGTACATAAGTTACTATTGTGTGGTCAAGTGAGAGATGCTTTGAGAGAAGCAGATCTTTGTTTCCAAAAAGATATAGTCAAAAGATAGGCCGAAAAAGCCAGGATAGCAAGAAACAACCCAGCATCAATTAAGTATATTTTAAACATGATTGAAAAATTGCCCAAGGCTATAAAACATCTATGCCCACTTGTAAAATTATCTGAAAATAATATTAATGTTAAGGA